TCTCTCTCTCTCTCTCTCTCTCTCTCTCTCTCTCTCTCTCTTCTTCTCTCTCTCTCTCTGCGTGACAAACAACATCACTGACGCACTTGTGGTTCTTATTCCACTTTGATGCATGTGGGAAAAAAGGGGTGATGGCTCCAAGGCCAAAATACGAGGATCTGCGCAGGTCTTTGAAAGCCGCGGGAAAGAAGGACAAGTGCCGGAAGAAATCGAGGGTCGAAAAGAAGCAGTCAAAATGTGATGGGCAGAAGCGGCGCCGACCTCTCTGCGAAAACGGAGCACAAGCGCAGCCGCAAATCCGGATCGAAAGTTACAGTCCCTTCGAGTGCACGGGAGATTTCAACGCTGAAAGAACGTAACGAGTCGCCCCCCTCGACCCCCGTCCGGGGAAAGCGCGGAAGCGGCGCCGAGAACCGTCCGCCAAGGGCCCCGGAAAAAAGATCGCGGGATGATAGAAGCGCGACTACGCACCGCAGAACAAAGAAGAGAATATCATACAAAGACGACAAAACAGTGGAGACAATCGATATTAGAGGGTCTGACGACAGGCACAGCGAACCCCAAGTGGAAGAAGAGGGGGAACACGACCGTTCCACGCCAGAGAAGTCAGATGGTGCGGAGGACGAGGAGCCAGGAAACGAGGGAGACGACAGCGATTCTTCCCGCAGACAATCGCAAGACACCGATGAGGACGACGACAACGACGGCAAGTCGGCCAGCGAGAGAATCGGCGAAGACCAGAGCGTCGCTTCGGAAAGAGGTGGTTCGCCATTTCCTTCGAGGACGCTGCGCAGAGAAGGAGAACGGCAGGCACACAATGGCAGCGACACCGAGGAACGTGTCGGTGACAGACAAATCGTACAGCACGTCAGCGCCGCCGGAAAAGGTAAAAAACCCCACGTCGCACTGACTCCCCTCCCACTCCGATCACATAATCCCGTGCCCCCACGCGGTGCACGCCTTTACGCACGGAGAAGTGTCTTTGTAAACGCACAGCTGATAGCCGAATCTTCAATTTTGCAAGTGTTGTATTCAAAACAAGAAGCTGAGTTGTTAACACTCTCCTGTGCATTGTGTCTTCTGTTTCCCACCGATCGCAACGTCACGAACGAAAGTGCGCGCAAGCGGCGGAGCCGTGCAAGGACCGAAGGACGAGGGCGCCGCATTCGCGAAGAAAATGAAGGGCAAGCTGTTGCGTTCCGTCGCCAAAGCTTTTGCGTTCTCTACGGCAAACGACGCAACTCTGTACCCGACAGAAGACGCGTTTTTCGCGGCGGTGCAAGCGACGACGAAACTGGCAGGGGAGACAGCAGAGGAAGGGTTGCGGTCTCACATAGCAGAGTGCGGGATTCGAACTGTCATAGGGGAATGCAACAGAATGATGACGACGATCCGCGGAGAGATTACATGGCTGCTGAAACATTGGTTTTGGGCTGAAAAAGGGATTCCGCTCGTCGGATCGCAGCAAACGGACCACCACCTCCCCGCTCGCAACAAGATGCGCACCGAGATGAAGGAGAACAAGACGTGGAGACGGAGCGGCGACGATCCGTGGGGTGCCCCCGCCTTTAAGACGGCACTCTTAAAAGTTTTTCAGATGAGGAAGGAAGGCCGGAACCTGGGCGTCACCCTGCAGCAACTGGCTTTTGCGGAAATGGTCATTCAATGTGAGATAGAACAGACAACGAAGACGACACGAGCTGCGGAGCAGATAGAAAAATTGGTATCTATAAAGCAGGCAATCGTCTCATCTCTCTGTAGCCGAGACACGGTAATGAGTTTTTCCGTCTTCAAACTGGACCGTTCCGTATCCGTGGCTGAGAAGGCAGCAGCGCTCTTTCGCTCTGGCACACCGTCTATCCACAGGCCTGGGCCTCCAAGCACAACAATAACGTATGACGATTACGACATCGAGTTCATTCTCTCTCAGAGTATAGCAGCCGGAGACGGGGACAGGCGCACCGACAGTCTGTGCGCCGCACCCTGAACAACGAGGGACAGTTTGGTGACATTTCGACATGGAAGGGAGGATGCGGGGCAATGACCAAACGGTGGAACGAAAGGTTCATTTTTTAGACGTTTTAAACCAGGAGATGCAAAATCGAAGGCCACAGTCGGTGCAGGATAGAGAGAGAGAGAGAGAGAGAGAGAGAGAGAGAGAGAGAGAGAGAGAGAGAGA